CAACCTCAATTATATTGGGATTGAAGTTTAGTTGATTGATTAATTCATAACAAATTGTTAATCTATGGGCAAATACCAAACCTAAAACCCTAACCAAATTCATACTTATGTGTGTGGCATGTCAGTAACTAAAAGAAGAAAGATGGAGACCTACATTCAAGGGTAACACCTTGCCTAATGGAGCCAGCTGTGTTATCAAAGGTAAAAGCGAAAAAAGGAGCGCAGAGGTATGATGGACTTTAAGAGCAAAATGCAAATAAAACATGGTCTCTAATGAAGAAATAAATAAAAACTATGCATGTAGTTCAAGAAGAATAACCACAACAAGGAGCAATTATATATAAAATATTTGAAAATGTACGATTAGGTGAAATATTAAGAAGAATAACCACAACAAGGAGCAATTATATATAAAATATTTGAAAATGTACGATTAGGTGAAATATTAATTGTTTAGAGTCTTTCTCTTCAAGACCAAGTCCGTGGATGATGAGACGCATGTTTTAATGCCTTGGTGTTGCATTGAAGCAATGGCTAAACGAGGTGAAGCACTCGACCTCTCTACAACGAATTTCATGGCTTACGCATGCCTTAAGCAAGTCGGACACTGGTAGAGAGTGGGGCTTGCCCGGCTGGGCATACTATCATCAACCAAATTGTTAAGCTAAATCTTTTAGCACTGTGCAACTTGGAGTGTGATAAGAAAAGGGGTCATGGGCCTAATTAGAACCCAAAAGTTAGCTCATGAGGTGAGGATTGTCCAAAACTATAGAAGGAGATAACAGCCCATTGCCCCATTCCCTCAACCAATGTGGGACAATCTAATATTCTACCTCACTCAACCAATGAGGGACAATCTAACATCCTACTGCACGCATGGATAACAAGGAGCATGAATAGTATAACATGGGCCCTAACAATGTGAAACACAATAACAGGGATAGATTTGGCTCTAGTACCAAGATAAGAACATGGACCTTGGACCTAACACAATCTCAAAAACTAGCTAATAAGGTGAAGAATTATCCAAGACCGTATAAAGAGACAACAAACATTCCCACAACCATTACTGGACAATCTATCAGAGTGTGGCAATTGGTATAGGTTAAATTAATCCAGACAAACAAAGAAGAATAGCACTATAATCTGATACATTTTTTAGCTTATCTTTTCAATTAAAATCGTCTTAAATATATTAAGAGCCATCTGACTAGTGATTGCAAACCCAGAAATTTAACACCTGACTCAAGTTCCAATCAGTCAAAATAGATATCTAAGTTTTATGTAAAAGGGCCATTGAACCACACAATAGAAACTTAAAATACAATTCTTTACGCAGTATTTGAGCCCCACTTACTACTAAAGGACAACAATCCATTATCCTTCATGTGAACAAATTATAGCCCAAACCTAATTTGCTGAATCACCAGTTCTGATGTTAAAGCACAAAAAGTAGCCTGTTTAACTCCATTAACATCTAGGAATTACCAGTAAAGCAATTAACCGTTGAATCCCCAATAATTACCCTATATAAATAAGCGCAAAATATTGTTCTTTCGGGTAGTTTTTGAGCCCCATTTGCTACCAACACAAAACCATAATCCATGTTTTCTGGAGAAAGTAGAACCTAAACCTACTTTTTGTCAAATCACTACTTAGTAAGTACCCTGTCACTCCATTACCACCTAAATCATGAATTGTACCAAATTATACATAAAACCCAAATTATCCCAATATATACAAGTGCAAAATACACGATCTTGGAATAAAATGGGTCGAATGGAGCCAAATAGATGTACCTCTACTCGAGTTTAATTTAGCATTGTCAGCATAAAGAATTATTTACACCGTCAAGTTACATGTTGTAGCAGCTAACTTGTCTTATTTTAAAGATTACAAATCTCCCATTTTAACACGTTAGTGCAAATAATTATTTATACTGTCACTGTATATAACTTAGACCCTACTCTAAATAGCAAATAGAGTAAGAAGGGAAGGGCATTACGAGGCACTTAGCGGCGAGGTAACGGAAGCGGAGGTCACGGAGGACGATTTGGGAAGCATTGAGAAGGTGGAAAGCACGGCGATAGTGTCGACCTAGATACAACGCTTGTGCTTGCATATATATATCAGCTGGGTCTGAAGTAATTGCGGCCACTTTGTCAGCAAAGAAGATGGCTGATGAATACAAATGCTTGCTCACACAATCCCTCACTACACCTCTTAGCCTCTCTATTTCCTCTTCCCTCATTGTATACTTTGTAAAATCGATTTTTCTTCGATAGTAAAGCGTAAAATTCGAAATTGAGTATCACTTAGATTTGTGCAGAGAAATATGAAAGAGCGGGAGGTTTTCTTGTTCGTTTCGTAAAGGGGGCGGGTTTTAGATGGGTTTTGAAAAATAGATGCGGTGCCAATTCAACTCAATTTCAGCGAACCTAAATGGGTTGATTCTGTCATATGATATAAAACTTATGCGGAGTTAGGGTTTTATAATTTCTTTTTTATTTTCTTGGAGTGTTTATAATATCTGTAACCCAAAATGGTAACAACCGAAAAGACCTAAATACCCTTACTTATTGTTTGTATGTGCTAAACTTATGGCTTGTTTGGATCATTGTTACCCATTGTTTTATAATGAATTGTATTGTGTTGTATTATATCGTTTTATGGATATTGTATGGGTCAAAATTTGCCTCGAGGAGAGGATACTGTATGGGTCAAAATTTGCCTCGAGGAGATTTAACATGAAGAGGTGTTATGAAAGGTAATTTGGCCAAGGTCGACTAGTAAACAATTTTCATAGTCGGGCAATCAACGACGGCCAAGGTGAAGTGTCAAGAGCAACAGTAACGGCTAGTTTTGTAATAGGATCTTTAGGAAGAATATTTCGGTGAATATTCTCTATACTTGTACTTTTATGATTGATTAGGGATATGTCCAATATAAATAGATAGAGAGATAAGGTGAAAGGCAAGTAATATTCTCTGATAAGTACACTCTTTGAAAAGCAGACTCTCTCTAGATAAAATACAAAAAAACCTTTCTAAAGAGATTCGATTGTCTATTATTCTACACTTTTCCACTAGATCTGAGAGGGGTCCCAATATTCTAGTATTTGTCTATCATTCATCATTGTTAGAAGGAGAAATTATCCACCTCATTCAATATTGGGTGAATTCTTCTCCTTATTTACTTTAATGCAATTTATTGCTATTTATTGATATGCACATCGTATTTAATCTCCTCTCAACACAATCCTTTGTTATTTGTATCCACCAATTATAGATCCGAGGTCATTATCATTAATCGGGTTTAACCCCCCATTACACAAAATTAATTAGTTTAACCAAGAATTTACATTTTTTGGTCAAACAATTTGGCGTCGTATGTGGAGATTTCCTAGTTAAATTTTTAGTTTCTTCAAGATCTATAACTGGCACAGTTCACAAAAAACCCTATTTTCTTGTACACACAACTGACATGGCAGGTAAGGGAGAAGAAATAATGAAGACAGTGGTTGATCTCACTGCAAACCTCTTGAACACCATCAACGAGGTTTTCTGAAATGGAAGGCGAAGATATAACGCCTAACGCCTCTCCCAGGCAAAGTGGGTCGCCCATTCCTCATGGCAGCATCACGACATCCCACGGTATAGGAGCTTCCATGTTCACAACGGAAGAGGCACCTCCAGCAGTGAAGAAACTGCTTGAGGCTTGGCTGACACACACGCTGATCAACATCCTTGACAAGCCCGCCAAGGAGGCAGTTAGAGAAAATACAAGGACTTGCATTATACCAGTAACAACCGAGCAGCACGACTCCCTCCCTTCAATAACAAGTATCACTCACAATATTAATAATGCAGGTGAAGACACCCTCACAACCATACTGAGGAAGATGGAAAAAATGGAAAATGAAAATAAAAAGCTTCGGGACCAAATGAGAGAGCACCAAGAAAGAGTCGAGAAAATACTAGGTGCCCCAAAACTCTTGCTGAAAAGAGATGTTGGTCGGTTCGTTGAATAGCCCTACAGTGATGAAGTTGCCCCGCATGCCATACCAACGACTTTCAAGATACCGCCTTATCTGAAGATATACGACGTCCCGACCGACCCTGAGGACCATGTGACTCACTATGTTACGGCGGTAAAAGGCAATGATCTCGCCAAAGAACAAGTATCCTCCATCTTGTTGAAAAGGTTCGGTGAGACCCTCCCCGGAATAGCATTGACTTGGTACTCACAACTACCCGCACGCTCCATCGAAACATTCGAAGAGATGGCCGACAAGTTTGTAACGGCCCATGCTAGGGCCAAAAAGGCGGAGGCTAGAATGAATGATATATTTTCCATAAAGCAATCGCTCGGAGAAGGATTAAGGGACTTCATCACTCGTTTCAACTAAGTACAGATGACCTTGCCAAATGTATTAGAGGGCATGGCTGTAGCGGCTTTCCAAAACAGGCTGAACAGTAACGGTTCGAGGGCGATCATAAAATTGTTAAGTTGGCTTATGAAGTATCTCCAACCACTTAGGATGAAATACACAACGCCTATTGTGCCAATGTCCGTGCTGACGAAGACGGTTTGAATGGGCCAACCCATCGGTTGACCTCGGTACAGGCCGAGACCAGGAAGGATCGAAGGAACAATGCCAGGAGGGATCTAGCATCTCCACGACCCAATCGAGAAAGGCATTATTTGTATATCAAAAGCACCATCATGCCCCCCTCTCGCCACGAAGAAGGCCCATCTAGGCCAAGGACATGACTCAATAGAATGAGAGAGGTATGCCTCTTTTATTATCCACTCACAATTTTTTTGTGTCGCCTTCAGAAATAGTCTACGCATTGGAGAAGCTCGGACCGAAGGTGAAGTGGCCGTAAAAGATAAGGTCAGACCCAAGCACCAGAAAGTCAAATGCCCTCTGCGAGTTCCACCAGGAGTGAGGTCACAAAACTGAGGATTGCATCGCTCTAAGGCAGGAAGTCGTAAACATGCTTCACCAAGGGCACTTGAAAGAATTGCTAATCGACCGAGGCAGGACTAACTTCGCTCGAGGAAGTAAACAACACCAGGTACCGCCTAAATCGCCTTCACCAACTCACACCATTCAAATGATCAGCGGAGGCGGCGACGACATATCGATCGACAACGTAAAATTCACCACAACCCACAAACTCAAGCGGTTGATCACTCATGAACGGTATGACAAACTCGAAGAAAGTATCAACTTCAATAAGTCGGATACTCACAGTTTGGTTTTCCCTCACTATGGCGCCCTCGTTATCACTTTACGATTATTAGATACAGATATAAGACGTATTATGGTGGACGATAGGAGTGGTGCGTGCATTATCCACCCTCGAGTACTTGCACAGATGAAACTTGAGGATAACATAATGCCACGTTGCATCACGCTAACAGGTTTTAACAATGCAGTTGAACGAATATTTGGATAAATCACGCTCCCCGTCCTAGCCGGCGGTGTTGTGAGCACCTAAGTTTTGCTCTACATAGGAAATTACTCCTAAAAAATAATCTAAAAATAATTTTAATCGTTTTTATGAATTTTAGAAGTTTTATTTATTTGTTTTGTATTTATTCGCATTGTTATGCATGTTAGGAATATTGTAAATCAAGAAAAATCATAAATAAATATTCAAATCTTAATTTCATAGCATTCTAGCTTTTAAATTGTGTTTTAGAATTTAATTACATTGTTAAATGCATTAGTTAAATTCATAAAATCACAAAGTACATTCTTAGTTTAGTTAATTAATTAATTAGTTGCATTAGTCCGATCCATCATTAAGTAAAATAGATAAATAGGCTAGCCACACAAAAATGGGATTTAAATTAAAATTTGAGTCTAAAGTGGCTAATTTTACAAAAGGCTAATAAAGAAGGAAAAGAAGGAAAAAGGTTGCTAAGCTAAATCGGATTGGGCCATTGTTTCAAGCCCAATTTTTGCCACATTTTCGCCCCACACCCGGTTCAAACCCTTAAAATCTTAGACTATGAAACGACGTAGGATCACCCCAATACTACGTCGTTTTCCCTTCCCATCTCATTAAAACTCCCCTTCCCCTTAACAATAAATGAATTCGGACCCTTCTCCTTAGAAAAAAACCCTAGAGCCGCTACCCCTCCCATGTTGTCTCTCTCTCAAAAATTTATGAACGACCCTCCCATATACATTGACAGAAACCCTAACAACAATTCCTCTTCCCCTTTTAGAACAAAAAAATCGGAACCCTCATCTCCAAAGATCGGACCACCCCATTGACGAAACCTAGCAGCCGCCGCCACCCTCCCTTTCCAAAAAACCATAGGCATCCTCCTAATCTGCTTCCTCACCTCACTCATATACTCCCTGAAAATATACACACCACTACTATAAGTGACAACAAGATCCTAGTTAAGACACAACCAACATTTGTTCCCTCTTTCTCTCTCTCATCACCTTCTTCCATTTTCTGCTGATTAAAACCGAATTTTTCAGGCCTAAAGAAAATTGTATTAAAAGAAAAATGGCAAGTGGGGGGTGGCTATGATGATGCAAGTCAAAAAATAGACTATGTTTTTAAGGTGGTATTAATAGGTGATTCAGCTGTAGCCAAGGACATTTGTTATTCAACATAAGTTTGTTAAAGCTCAGATCTGGGACACTGCTGGTCGAGAAAGTTTTGTTGTTGTCGAGTCAGTTCGACCTGCTATTTCTGAAATTGTGAAGCTTTGTTGGAATTTCTAATGTTATTGAAGAGATTTGTTCAATAAAAGGTTTGTTTCTTAGTCTTTTCTTTTTCTTTTTGGATATTAATTCATATAACGTTTCGTTGTATTTTTCTTTTCTGAATGTTCTTCTTTGCTATCTATTAATCTTGGCTGATGTTTGTCTCATGCATATTGGTGTACTACTTTCATTTGGTTAATCGTAGAGGTTATGACGGTTTCCATTTCATCTTTCTTTATGTCAGTTATTTTATTTCATTGATTTGGTTTATGTGCGAGAATATCTCTACTTTCTGTTTTATTTTTAGTTTCGAATGTATAATGGCTTGAGTCTTCCAATTTTGATTAGAAATTTTCATTACTCATTTGTGAAAGATTTAATGGCAGTAGGTTGTTTATTTTCGTTTGGTCCAATTTAATAAGAGTAGAAATTTGTTAACTTACTAATTAATGATGTGTTGAACTCATATGCCTTTCCACAACAATACTTTTAAAAAAATCATGATCTCAATAATCTTAAACGTAGGAGATGAACAACATATGAACATCCTATCTTGCTTTAGGCGTGATTAATAAATAAATCATCGCGACTATGGGTACGGTTCCCATGGCATAGTCACGACGCATAATTTCCAATTCGAGTGCGTTTCACGTGACCCGATCATAACTTCAAATAATAATAATAAAAATAAACATATTGTAAATTATGGGTGCGTTTCACGTGACGCGATTCGCAATTTGAACACAAACAAACGAGTGTGCGACATGGCGACTGTGACTATAAATTCAAATAAATAAGCTCATTTCGAATAATGTCACTTTAATTGAAAAAGCTCCATATCCCCTCAGAAAAAGGAGGTGTGACAGCACTGACGACTCTGCTGGGATCAAACCCAGAATCTCTGGTTTAAGGTTAAGAATTCGAGTTTAGAATAACTGTTATAGTTGGCTTTTGTTTATTATGATATTTTTACGTGTTTGAGCTTAATGTGCTAATTGCCACTTTTTACCGCTTTGATATTCTGTGAACTGTATATAAAACTATTACGAAACCTTTATTCTCTCTGAGTCTTCTAAATCTTCTGGGAAATACACGCTGGTGTGACTTCTTTTTTGTTAGTGGCATACCCTAATTTAGAACGAGGATCGGATCAATTACAAAGCTGTATGATCTTTTGGTTATCGGTATGTTGCCCCCTGGCTCGAGTTGTCCGCTCGGGTAAGTCAGGTCTAGAACAATACACCCGGGTTTTAAACCTAAAATAACATAACCTCATGTCGAATCCCTAGTAGGAACGTTTGTTTGCATCACGTGTATTTGACTTTGGGGACTCAACACAGGGGTTGAGTCCGTCTAGGCTAGGTGCACTCACAATAAAAAAACTATCCTGATGCATTTTACGTGCTACTTGTACATTTATTTGCTTCGGCTTGCATGTTAACCAGATTCTAGAATAGGGAAGAAAAATCAAGAAAAACCAAGATTGAGGTACAACAACAACAACCACCTAGTAAAATCCCACTAGTGGGGTCTGGGGAGGGTAGTGTGTACGCAGACCTTACCCCTACCCCAAAGGGGTAGAAAGACTGTTTCCGAAAGACTCTCGGCTCAAGAGAACAAAAAGACAAAATAAGACAATATTAGTATCACCACATAAATCATAGGAAAATAGGAACAACATGAAATCCATAAGAAAGATGTAAAGCAAAAGCGATAGCTAGTAAATAGGTCCTGCACTGAAAAATAGTAAAACACAATATTGCCACTAGTTATCTTAGACAAAAACCTTATCAGGCTAGTCTCACAAAGGTATTAAGTAAGCCAAGACTCAACTACCTCCTAACCTACAACCCTAATAGTCGACCTCCATAACTTCCTATCAAGTGTCATGTTCTCAGAAATCTGAAGCCTCGCCATATCCTGCCTGATCACCTCTTACCAATATTTCTTAGGCCTCCCTCTACCTCTTCTCGATCCCTCTACAACTACGTGGGTCTGATTCTCACCAGATGTGAGATACGTAGGCAAACCTCATCGGTTTCGGCCCAAAATTTTAAAAATACAAAAATATTTTCCTTTAATTCCTTCTTTATGAGTTTTTTCTTAGGAAACCCCAAACAAATAACAAATAAGAAAAAATTTTAACCCAAAAATATTTTCTTTGGAGAAGTCTTTTATTCGAAAAAAGAAAATAAATCAAATCAAAATCCAAAAAATATTTTCTACCTTTTAAAAGTCTTTTTCCCAAAAGTTCAAAAAAAAATTCAAAAAATCAAAAATCCAAAAAAATATATATTTTTCTCTCTTCTTTAGAAGTCTTTCTTTTGAAAATTTCAAAAAAAAATCAAAGCCTATCCAAAAATATTTTCTTTCCTCTTTAAAAGGCTTTCTTTCGCAAAATTCTCAATAAAAAAAAGAAAAGAAAAAATGAAACGCAAAAAAAAAAAATATTCTTTTGCTAAACGTTTTCATTGTCTGAGTGTTATAAAAAATAAAAAAAAGAGTTAGTTTATTTACTCCATTCCTGATTTTCCTGAATTACGTGATGATCTGATTCATGCAGTGTCATGATACGTAGGCAATCCTCATCGAATTCGATCATAACCATAGACAATTTGAGTGGAAAAAAAACCGACAAAGAAGAAAAACAAAAGAGAAAGAAAAAAAGAAAGAAAATTTGAGTGAAAAAGAAAGAAAAGAGTGAAAAATGAAAGAGCGAAAAACAGCGAAAGAGAGGAAACAAAATCATGATTTGAAATTTGAGAAAAGAGATAGTAAAGCCAGGATGAACCATACAGCCATTGCAAAAATATTTAGAAGCATTTAACTGTTCAGGTGCATTGCATTCCCAATATGTGATTCCTTATCTGTTAAATGTCTCAAACTGACAAGGTTGTTGTGTGTGAAAAATAAGACAGGTCCTGTTTGGTGGTTGGTTTTGTTGGTAATCTGGTTTCCTATCCTTACTTCACAAGATCCAAAGGAAAGGTTCATATGGCCTCCGAAAGTCATCTACCAATTATTGATCCCGAGGATAGCCCAGTACCGGCTATTCCACAACTAGAATCAGCAGCTGCCGAAGAGAATAGGATGTTGCGTGTTCGCATATCGAAAATGTGGGATGCCTAGTCTAATGGTAGGGAACCGCCAAGTGCAATCCCTGGGTTCCCTGAGTTGATCCCTAAGTCAAGTGAGGCTACCAATGTCCATGTGCCCAACCTGTTCATCCCGTGCGAATACCCCTCCCTCCCCCTGTAGCCTAATGGTCCTGGTATGCCTTCTGTGGTTCGCCCCTAGGTGTTGGATTCAAGGGCACCGCCAGCAATGTTCTCTGCAACACCAGTCTACACCACATCATAACCAACTTTACCACGGCCGTATGTTGAGCCTCCAATGTTCACCTTTCAGGGTCCACAGTTTTAACATAAATAACATATGTGACCCCATACTCATTTACTCAACCTCCGCAATATGACTTCTCGGTGGAGAAAGAAAAGGTTGTCAAGAATCCCGAGCAAGAGGAAATGGCTCGAAAGATAAAGAGCCTGGAACAAAGCCTAAAAAACATGCAAGGCCTGAATGGCCAAAAGAGTGTCTCATACTCCGACCTATGTATGTTTCCCTATATTCACTTGCCAACTGGTTTCAAGATGCCAAAATTTGAAAAGTACAACGGGCACGGAGACTCGATCGTCCATTTAAAAATATATTGCAATCAGCTGAGAG